CGACTCATGGCCACAGTAGGGTCAAAGGATTTGCAAGCTGTGGACTTCAAAAGGTAACTTGAAAAGGGGAGAAGGGCAGGGCTGCAGTTGCTGTAGGGCCTTGGGAGAAGTGGTCTACAGGGGATCATGATCTTGGAAGGCGATGATTGTTCCAGGCAATCAGGGGCAAAATAGGGGGATGTCGTACTCTTAGTCATAGGGGACAGACGGAGTATGCAAGCTTAGGATGTAGAGGGGTTGACCTAGTTTTGGGAGAACCGCTCTGCGAAGGCCCCATCTCTGTGGGCAGTGGGGTCCTTGTACGAAGCAGGTGCAGATTAGGGGTTGTGCATCCACCTGAGTCGCTGGCATATTATGTGGAAGAGTAGGGTCACATGTGGTAGAAGGAAATAGAAGCGGTTCACCCCAAAGCCCCATGGGGGGATGCATATCGACCGATAAAAAGGGTTAACATAGTCAGATCACACATAGACATCACTTGCAACGACTTACACGAGTACATAACCACACATCAGATAAATAAAATTGCCCCATACACAAGCGCGCGATAGCTGATTGATTGAATGATTGCACGAGTTTGGCAACCATAATAAAATAACAACAAAATGAGAGTTGAATTCAAACTGAACAGCAGTGCAAGGGGGGTATAACTGGGTGACTCGGGAGCCGTCATAGGTTATAGACCTTGGCCTGGGGCCGTAAGAGTCGATTAGACACTCCCAGGTGACTCCCCGTACTAATAGATCGGTCAGAACGGTCAGATGTCAGAGGCTCTGCTACAGAAAATCTTGGGAGGTATCCATCCACAGTCTACTCACAGGGTTGGTACTAGAGAAACATGTGTATGCCTACCTTCTTCTCCGAACATAACACATGTTGTATTCGAGTATCCAAATTAAAAAAAAAATCCAAATAGAACGCATCCAAGCTATTCGAATAAAACACGTATGTGTCGTATTCGGATAGAACACACCCTAGCAGCGTCCCACGTGCTTCAACCATATGCAGGGGCTCATTCTACAGTGCTTCAACCAGGAACGGAAGTGATATATCCTGAGTAGTGATGGTGCATGCAACTGATGTCTGATCAGGTCACACTGAGATAGCGCTGCTGCCCGAGTAAGAGTATGTACGACGGGAGCATTGACAAAGTTAACGTGGGTCCACGAAGTCTCACGACTGGGTTGACCCATTAAAAAGAAAAAAGGTGAACATATCGTTGTATTATCTTTTTCAACAAAACAATGAAAACTCAAGTTCATAGTTTGTAATTCAACATTAAGCTATATTATTCTCTCAAATTCCCCTTTGCCACATCATACCTACTGCTACTCCTACGCCTATACATTGGACCCCTGGAAGCATAGCTACCTCTCACTGTGTATTGGATGCAGGGAGTTACCCCCTGCCCTAATCGGCAGTGACTCAGGGAGTAGGGTGCCCGGGCGCCGCCTAGAGAAGGGGGAAGGGGGGCGCCAGCTTACACAAAGACCAAGCATTTTGCCAGTAGCTGCACCTACGATCTCCGCCCCCCCCCCCCCACACACACACACACACACACGTGATGGCTGAGGGCCCTACCAATATAACTCCTCATTTGATAAAGATGGAAGTCTGATTTAAACGACCAGGTATGTCATCACATTTCACACCTAGGGAAGGTACTGCCCAACTGTGAAGTACAGCAGCAGATGTTATAATCATAAGTAAATGAGTTTTGGCTGGTACAACCACTCGATTATGTACTGAACCGGGTGGGGGGGAAAGCCAAGTATCTCAGTTGGTTCTGTGTAGCTGTCACAGCAATAGGATAAAATATTTCACTTGTCTCCTGTTTTGAACGCTTCAATGCCCCTCTTTTAACCCAGAACCCATGTGTTTGCCCCTCTCTGACTGTCCCAAGAGGTGCAAACCATTTGGGCTCCGAAGGCCACGACTGCAGGCGCCTCCAATTTCACAAAATAGGTTCGACCCACTGGACAGGTGGTGAATCCACAGGACATCTGATGGGAAACTTTAGCCTGAGATCGATGTAATCATGTAGGAAGGAAGTGACAACTTCGCCAAGCTTCGCCCGGGCCCTACGTACATAAATATAGATATAGAAGACTTGTCCCTCACTGCTGCTTTAAGATGGACCCACCTTCCTTCTACTTTTGTCAAATTCTGAATGCCAAGGGGTTATTTCCACTCGTTTCTGATGAAGGGGGTAGCCATATGGCTATGCCTGTTGAGGCTCTTGCCTTTGCTGGGGCTGAAAACTCTGAAAAGACTACATCCATTTTCCTTCAGCCAAATGAGCAGAAATCCGGGGGAGACGAGTCTCTTGGATGTAGATCGCCTCCGCCCACACTCGTGGATTTCCAGCAGTTAATTTGGTTCCAGATCGCCACCTTCTTCGCTAGTCCCCCAGCTACTGTCTTCACCTGAGTGGAACGCCCAGTCATTATTGCTGCATCTGGACAATTATCGCTGCATCTGGACAGAAAGTTGGCCCAAACACAGATATAAAGACCGGATGCAGCATTCTGTTCAGGTGAACGCGGTAGCCGGATGGTGCTTCTGGATCTGATGGTCTGTACCAGACCTTCTGGCCCATGTTGGAGGGTGATATGCGGGGGTGTGGGTACAGGCGAGTGAGGGAGCAAGTCTGAGGGTAATGGGGGTGGTGGCAGTAGCTGCTGATAGATGTTAGGTTGGTGACGCATTAGGGAGGGGGGCAAAGGGCAAGGATTTGGCTGATCCGGATTATCTGATGGTACCCTCTTCTCCACCCGATCAGGAAGATCTCTGCCACTGTCCTCCTGCCTCCTACCGTCTTCCACCGCACGCAATGCACCCTCATTTTGACTGTACTGGACCGGAATGTTAACTTGTATACATCCATTATCATTGGTATGTTATGTTCGGCGGACAATGGTCGTTGGCTGTATTACAGCCACCTGGGTTTCAATCTGGACCCCGCCTTCCTGGTGAGAACCCAATGGTTTCCATTAGTCGCTTCTGTTCGACCCCACTACACTGTTCTGTGCCAAGGCATGTCATTTGCTACCCCTCTACAATAGTGTATTTTGCTACCCCTCTATAGTAGTAATAAGGGGGGCTCATCGCAATCATTATGGCCATCTAGTTAGTTCCCCAGCAACACTTGCATAAAAAATTCAAAATGCAAAATTTGAGAGAGTTTCCCGTAAAATTGGATCTCACACTGGAGATTGAAAAGCTCATCAAGTTATCACGGCGAGACCAAAGAGACCAAAGAAAGACCTTTCTCATTTCTAGTTGGATCTAATATAAGAAGAACCTACAACGGACCCGAGGTGGAGTTCCAAGGGTGACATGACGGGACACTGGACCTGGTTTCCAGCAGTTGGTGGTACCCACCAATGCATTCGAGCACCCAGCGGGTCTGTTAGAAGGACATGCCTGCGGCGTACAAAGGCTTGCCTGCTGGCATGTCAGAAATATCTCATGGGCGGGGACGGCAAATACGGTCCTGCTGCGAACGCCGGACTGCTTTCCTGCTGGCATGTCAGCAATATCTCATGTGTCGTCCGTGTTTACAGCAAACTATCATGGACAGTCCGTGTTGCTACTGCAATGACTATCCCCGATGCCATCACCCGCCACATCCCCTTGTAGAATGTCCCACATGCAGTGTTGGGCATTACACACCAGCTGCACCAGGAGTCACATCTCCTCCGTAGCATGTCCCACATGCATTGTTGGGCATACACCTGCTGCACCTCGTCTCCTTCGACGAAAGAGATTTGACTACAGGTGCAGAAGGTGTATGCCCCCCCAACACTGCATGCGGGACATACCACCAGAGGGTGACACAGGCAATGGCATCAGTGATAGCCCTTGCAGTAGCAACGCATTATTTCCATGACAGCTTCCTGGAAACACCGACGACAGGTGAGATATTGCTGACATCCAAGCAGGAAAGCAGTCTGGCGTTTGCAGTTATTTAAGCATACTGCATGCCAAGGCCACAACTGCATATTGGGCAAGCAATAAACGGGGGGAGGGCGGGGGCGGGAGGGAGGGAGGGAGGAGGGAAGGGAGGGGTTGAGGGGAACGAGTGCACCTTGAAGGCAACGGGTCGCACCATTGACCATCTATTTATAGTGTTTGGAGCAGAGATAATGTGGTGTGCACGCTATGCTAATCGAACTGTACCTGTGTGAAGAGACTGTGGCGTCCCACAGCCACTGTCCTCTTAGAGGGGGCTTCTCACTATTCACAGCAGAATCTGTCCGCTCTACACAAGGAAGTGATGTTGCCTATCCACGTTCATCGGAAGGGTCAGCCGGATTGTTCTCTGGAGTCCGTCGAGCTTGAGGGTGCACATCCACATCCTGTAACTGATTGACTACCGTCTTCACCCGAATAGAACGCCCGGTCATTATAGCTGTAGTTGGCACAACTTTCCATCCAGATGCAGCGATAATGATCGGGCGTTCTATTCGGGTGAAGACGGTAGCCAGACCGAGTGGGATTCTGTCACTTTTGGTGATAGAAAGAGGTAATACTTCCCACGGAGTGCAGCACTGTACCGCCATTAGCCAACAGGGTGTGTTCTTTAAGCCACCAGCACATGGCCCCAGGCAACTGGAGTACCTGTTTTGAGCCTCTCCGAAAAATTCAGGAGGCCGAGCGCTGTAGATAAAATGAATCGACGGTGGGCAGCCTCCTACCCTAAAGGGGCCCGCAGCCGATAGCGGGCATCTAGCGGTGCTTTAAACCACAACAGCGCCTGTTCCAGCCAGATGAATAGAGATCCAAAATCAAAGCAGCTTCACCTCCATTCCAGACAATTGAAGCACACTTTAGTTGAGCAAATTCCAGCAATGAAAAAGTTTTACCTCTATAGCAAGCAACATGGAGCACAATAGATCAATTAAAGATCCATTATAGATCCATTACAGATCCATTATATATATATATATATATCGTCCAATATATATATATATATCGTCAAATATATATATATATCCCTTTCTTAACTATTTTTACTTCTCTTCGTGTGCTGTCATGTTCGCTACCACACAAAAAAAGCATGACTGTGCCAGACTCAGTCTGTTCCGTCCGACTTTCACCGACTCATGTGGGTGTGTGGTGTATAGATCCATTATATATATCCCTTTCTTAACTATCTTTACTTTGCCTTTCTTCGTGTGCTGTCATGTTCGCTACCACAAAAAAAAAGGAGCATGACTGTGCCAGACTGTTCCGTCCGACTGTCACCGACTCGTGCAGGTGTGTGGCGAGGTTCATGTCATTTGTTGTTGGAGGGCTGGTGCAATTTCACAAGCATGGAACACACAATAAAAGCAAACCGGCACACTCAGGACAACAGATAAACAAACAAATGAACTTGAAAAAAGCACATTTAAACAAAAGAAAAAGACTCGGTTTATCTCAGATTACTTCCTCCGTACAATTGCTCTCAGGGTTTCCTAGTGGAGCTCGGGCATTATCAATCACAGTGGTGGGGATCAAGGCCATCGCATCCCCAAGAATCACGAGCGAATTTCCGCGCCTGAAGCACTTCGTTGAAAACGTCACCCTGGCACAAACGGCAACCATACCAAGACGCCAAAAAATAAGAATCAGCAATTAGGACTTGGGATCCCCGCGGGACGCAAGCACTTTATCAACTCTTAACAGCTTCCCACAAAATGCAACTGCTTTTTTTTTCATCACCGAGCAACGAGCAACAAAGGATAAACAACTGCACGCTGAAGGAAAGTCACAGCCGAGTGCTTGAGCCCGTGTTCAAGGCTGCAACGGACACAAATTAACATTTTCTAAACGAACGTTCTTATGTCATGCTCTCACCATCCTCCGCCCTCACACTCACAAAATAAGGAACACAGAGAAGGGTAGGGTGGTTAGACAATTTCCCAGATCGATTAGAATGTCACAGCCGAGTGCTTGAGCCCGTGTTCAAGGCTGCTACGGACGCAACTCAACATTTTCTAAAAGAACTTCTTATGTCATGCATGTCGGCATGTTTTTCTTTCGCAGATTTTTTTTATTACTATACCCTGGGACTGCCCGGTACGCTCCCCGGACCCCACCCGTGTGGACGCCCGAGTGAACCCCCCCAGTCTGCACGAAGAGGTAGATATCGGCTCAACAATGAAAGCCTCCAGGACAATCAATGAACGCCCACTTGCCAATTCAATGAAGATTCACGTGGGAGTACAAACACATCACAATGAACGACTGTGTGACGAGGAATGATAATTAGTAGACGCCGGCATGATAATATGAATGCCTATCAGGCGATAAACCTCTACCTCCGCATGACAAACGCGCAAATGTCAAATTTTCAACGAAGATTCACGTGGCAGTAGAAACACATCACAATGAACTGCTGTGTGATGAGGAATGATAAGTAGTGCCTGTGCGATGATAAAAGCGTGCATGGTGATACGAACGCCTATCAGGCAATAAACCTCTACCTCTGTATGACAAGAAACACCTGGATTGGATGATGACAAACGCCTACACATTGTTTGATATGATAAAAATGCCAGTGTCAGGCTAAAGGCCTGTGTGACAACAAATAACTGTACAACCTAAAACCTATGCTTGATGATTAAGCACGAGTGCGACTGGTCATAAATTCCTCTGTGACAAATGCAGGTAATTAGGCTGATCATGAATCCCTGCCACCAGAAAGAGAGAGTGGTTGCCTGCCAATCAGGAGGCTTTGTCACTGGTGGTTTAAACTACCAGTACCTCCAAGCCTCTCCTATTTTTTCAACATGCAGTTTTGCCCACCCCTCACACATTCCAAACCTCCACAGGTACAAGGTCTAGTGGGCACTGCCAGTCATTCTCATCAGCTAGGCCCCCCGAGCTTTTCCACAGGCCTGCGATAACCAGTGGGGATGCACCACATAGCGGCTAAGCTACTGGTGATTGGAACCTCTACTTTTCCTTGGGTAAAGCAGCACCCCACGCCAGCATACACAGAGGCACAGGTTGTTTTACACCTGCTCGCCCACCCAAGCCTGCAGTCCCAGGCTATGTTGCACGCCCGGCCACGGCCGGGGGGGTCCAAGACGGCCGCGGCCTAGGCCGATGGCCGAATAGGCCGGGTTCAGCCTAGGCCGACCAGCCGACTTCGGTGCAAGATTTTTATTTCTTTTCTAATGCATGAAAAAAAAAAATATATATATATGGGCGTGTAGGGCTAAAAAAACCCTACACTCCTATTTTTTTTTTTTTGGAATCCGACTTTGTTTAAGATTTTTAAAAAATCAAAAACCAAAATCGATTTAAACAAAATTAAAAAATATATATAAAGAAAAGCAGGATTTTTTTTTGGTCATTTTTTATCATGAGATATATGGTCCGTGAGTTTACCTGTATTTTTTAAGAAATGAATTTATGTTCTCTTGCAGAACTATGAGGTGTTTTGAAAAAATGCAGATGGAAAAAAAAAAAAAAAAAAAAAAAAGGGGT